TGTAGGCTAATGAGACTTTGTGTTGGAATATGTAGAAGTTATCTGCACGACAAATAACGTCTCGATTATACAGTTTTACTCGTTTCGATACTTCACCATAAGTCATAATTACAGACCACCTGTTTCTGAGTAAAACCACGTACGTAGAACGATTCAGTATGATACCAACAAGATCAGTAAATGTTATATATATGATAGAAAACATATATAAATAAAAACATAGATTTTACATCTGTGTAAGTAGAAAAACAAAACACTGCCGAATTCGAGCTTCATCTCTTGGTTCAAGTGAATCGTCTTATTCACAGATGTATATAAATTATTGAAGAGAAACATTGCACTGTAATTAATCTCCGAAAATACAATACTGCAAAAATATATATGTTCTCATTGTTAGGCAAATAGGGTTCCTTATGATCTTGTCTGTTGTTGTTTTCTAAACACAAAAGCCTGTGCTCTATCTACCGCGGTGTATTGAATCCCCTGATTTTAACATTGTAAGTTACACACCAGGGATCATGTTTCATAAGAAGTTTATACCTGTCTTCTACAAAAAAAGGTTAAGATTGCTTTGAATATTCGCGTAAAGCTACACAGACGTTTCATCCGCTAGCCGACTTTAATTTTGACCTGATAGACCAAAGGCAGCTAGTCAGAATCATTCACCGCCAACCTTTGGGCTACTCTAATTAAATAGTGAGATTTGAACATTACTCTCGGAACGCACCAAAGACGGAGTTTGATTTTGCGGAAAAGGGACGCGAACAGGGAATTCGGAGATTCCCATTCCGAGTTAATTACTAGGTCAACGCCTGGCATCAAAGAATGAGAAATAAAAGAGATGTTTATAATAATAAAACTTATGAAAATAATATTTGGAAAAAAATATTCTTCCTTGTTTGTGATTTTACTTATTCCATGCTGTAGAAATTTCATGCTACATTTTTCATTGAAGCGAACGAGTTGAAATAACTTGAATAACTATAAAATTAAATCATGTCCTATATTAAGACAATGAATTTAACTTCTAGGAAACGCTTCGATTAATATTTTGAATTGTGACAAAAAACTAAATGATTTCGATGATTTTAAGTTAACGTTTTCATGTTAACTTTTTGTCTTTTCAAATTTTTAAGGTAATTAAAAGAAAATTGTTTATTTGTTCATTAAGCGCAAAATTGGATTGTTAAGTCTGCTTTATTCCACAGCAGACAGCGAACCCCGAGTTTGAGCGTTATAAGCTCTCAAGCTTAACGTTGAGCCACAGGGCTTGAAAGAAACAAAAAATCGTCTTTATTTTCGGTCGTCAAGTAATTGAAATGAAGGGAGGAATAAGAAAATAAAACTAAAATGATCACGAGAAATTATTTTTATTTATAAATCCTAACAGCAACGTTTGAGAAACATAACCTTATTTTTTTTAACATATTCTCAACTATTTCAGAAATGACGGCACAGTTACATTATTGATTTATTTCATTACATTTTTGAAATACAAATAATAAGGTATCTAGTATTTTTAACATTGACAACATTTTATACGCCACATAGACCAGAGACCCCATAGATAAGAGATACGTAACTCAGTTTGTTTGGTTTTTTTTAGTTTCGCTCAACGCAACTTTAGGACTGTTTGCATTAGCCGTCCCTAATTTCGAAGTGATAGGCTTGGGAGAAGGTACCACTCACGGCCAACTCTTGGGCCACTCTTTTACCTACGAATAGTAGGATTGACCGTTCCGTTATAATGCTCCCATGGCTATCAGAGCGAGGATGTTCGATGATAGGATGCGAACCCGCGCCCCGCAGCTTACGATTAGAGCGCCCTAGCCGTTCTGGCCATGCCAAGATTCACAGACCCATAGATTCTGGCATAGTCATCCCTAATTTAGGACTGCCAAACAGACAGAGGACAACCAGTCAAAAGCACGTGTTGCATTCGTAGATATTTTTAACCATTTTATTCAACAGAGTATAGCGACTCCAACTAGGACCTTTGTGATCCGCAGCCCGGCACTCCACCCATTAGGTTATGTTCTACCTAAAATAAAAGAATGAAAAACATGAATTGTTATGAAATTCAATGGGCAAAAAAAGCTATTTGAGCACCGCTGAGAAAAGGATGTGAAATGAATGTCGTAAAATTATATTACAGAAATCTTTGGTTGAAAAAATGTGGAAAGTCGACAGTTTTCAGAGCTATTGCCGTTGTACATATATATTAAAGTGATAACTGATACATTTCATAAAGTATTATATTATATACTAAATATAATTTGGAATCCAAATTTGGTCAGGTGTTTTCCAAATAATATGATGTAGTGGTAATATAATTCTCCTAATGATTCAATAGTTTGTGTTTACAGCTGTATTTAACGTGTTTCCGTCAACACACAGAAGCTAGGAAATGGTTTTATGTAAACAGCCTGGCTTAAACGAAGAACTAGTGAAAACTATGTACGTTAACTCTGTAATATTGGACATTTCCTAGCGTAAAGTTAATTTCCTTTAGAGCGAAACACTGCCAAACTAATGTAATACATAATTAAAACGGAAAAAAGTATTACCAAGAAATACAATAGATAATTAAAACGGAAAAAAGTATTACCAAGAAATGTAATAGATAATTAAAACATAGCAAAGTATTACCAAGAAATATGATAGATAATTAAAACATAGCAAAGTATTACCAAAAAATATGATAGATAATTAAAACATAGCAAAGTATTACCAAGAAATATGATAGATAATTAAAACATAGCAAAGTATTACCAAGAAATATAATAGATAATTAAACATAGCAAAGTATTACCAAGAAATGTAATATACAACTAAAATGGAGCAAAGTACTACCAATAAATGTAATACATAACTGAAACGAAGCAAATACTACAAATAAATGTAATAGATTATTAAACAAAATGAACCATTGCCAACAACTGTAATAGATAATTAATAAGAATCAGAGCATAGCCAAAAATTACATGGTTTATTTAAACGGAGCAAACCACTCAATAGAAACGCAAAATTTTCTTTTGAGCAGAGCTAAGCGCCGTCAAGAAGTGCGAGATGAAGTTGAAGTGAGGTTAAAATCTACTGAGCTATGTAAGGTGAATGTGAAATTGAACTGAAGACGATGAAAACTGTCAGGTCAAGTTGAAACACAAATAAATTAATTCTATGGAGTTTAAGATGAACCTAGAGCTAAGATAAATAGGACTAAGAATTAATTAGAAAATCTATTAGCAAGAAACCAATTTGAAGTATAAATTGTAAATAGAATAAACTTTTCAATTATTGAGCATATAAAGTGAAGATAGATAAGAATTCACTACTGAGATGTAAGGTAGCATTGAAAACTTTTCTGAGAAGCTGAGAGGACGCTGACGTCTGATTAAAGGCAGATCAAGTGTGAATGTGCGAAACATGTTATTGCTACAATTGTTTGTTTTAGCTCAAAGATATGTATATAATGCGCTATTTGCTCTGTACCCGCCGTGAGGCTCGAGCATGAATTTTAGTGTTATAAAGTAAACTTCACCGCTATACAAAGCTCTTTCTTAATGACAAAAATCGTTGTCGTTCGAGCATGAGCAAAATCGACATGGTGAATTTATAAACACAGTTTTTAAACCTTTCTTTTCAATATTTATTAGTTAACATGTAAAAAGTGAGACTCGTTTTAATAAACATTTTAGTTGAAGCATGAAGAAAAAACCAATTCTCTATGAGAATATAGAACAATGAAATGTAAAGATCACAATAATGATCATATCACGTAATCAATCAAATTTGCTAAAGTACAAGAACCTTGATTAAAATAATGAATCGCTAGCACTTTCTGGTAGCCCCCAGTAGAACAGCAAAGTGTATGCGGACTTACAACGCTAGGAACCAAGTTTCGATACCCATGGTGGGCAGAGCACAGATAGTCCATTGTGTAACTTTATGCTTTATTGCGAAACGAACAAACGTTCTGGTAAAAATACAACCCCAATTATAATACAATACCTAGAAAAGTGTTCCAGAGTTACTACCCTGATCGTAATAAAACATTTAGAACAAAGTGTGCCAAAGTTACTACTCTGATCATAATAAAACATATGGAATAAGATGTGCCAACGTTACTACTCTGATCATAATAAAACATATGGAATAAGATGTGCCAACGTTACTACTCTGATTACAATAAGACACTTCAAATAAAATGCGCTAAAGTTAGTACAAACAGTATAGTGTAGGAGTGCACCATCCGGGTTCAAATAGAACACTACCAATAATCTATACTGTAAAGTGTACCCTTATTGTTCTAATTGTTACAACAAAGATAAATATGAGAACAAACGGATTGGACTAAAAGTCCTTTAGTTTAAGGTAAGTTTAGAGTGTTTGTGAGCTGTAATTGGCTATAAAGAAAAAGTAGTGATAAACATTAATATCTTCTGACTCTGCCTGTTAACCTTGACCTGCAGTGACTCACCGCGCACCTAAATGAAAATATTGCTCATATCCAACTTAAACTGGTTCACAACAGTGACTTCTAAATAAATCACATGGATATGATAACAATATTAGTACAGAGAATTGATAATACGTGGTAAACTGTATTACCCTGATCCCTGTTACAAATCAGTTCACGAGTACAGAAAGTCTGGAAAGTGGCAATAGCTCATTTCAGACAAACAATAGCTCATCAGTTTTACTGTCTATTGTTTGGGGGAAACACTTTTATGTTGTACAAGTCGAAAAGTACGTTGTTGTTTATGGTAAGTAGAACATACACATGTACGCATTGATACACAATATACATACAGTTCAATAAATATGGTTCATTTTGTAAGCTTTAAAGCGGCACCGCCGTTAGATAGGTGACGCTGAGAGAAAATATTTTTGGCTTATTGCCACACTCGACAGTGCAGCTAAGCCCACGCACCAGCAAACGGTCGGTGGTTGGGTTCTCCTACAGGCCGATAAATAAGGAGAACTAGAGACACAACCAGAGTAGACTGTCAGCCAGGCGCAGCACCACGAGGACTGAGGGAAGAGAGAGAGAGGAATAATAGCCGCTTCCTGGACAACCCACAATAAATTCTTTATGTGGATACAATGTAACCAAAAGTAAACTTGTTGTTTTTGGAACTACCGCTAATGATCCGAGAGCAGAACTATATTCCACTGTGGTAAAAGTAATTGTGTCGCTTTCTAAAGTTTTTTTTTTTTTACATTAGTTGACTGCTACGTTCACAATGCCAGGTAAGAGACTTGTTTTTAAGTTCATTTCCTAAAGTAGATTGTTTTTTTATGAAGCTGAACCAATGCCAATAGACTCAAGTTTTGTGTTTGATGAAACTACGAAAAGCGACTTACAAGTGTAGGTGATAATACAGTCATGTACCTCAGAAAGACAAGTTTCATGAGGGAATATTAATATAATAGTAAAAGATTACTACCATTTTATGTGGTTGTGATGGTCCAACAATGGGGATGACTAGATAAGAAAGTGATAATTGGTCTTGTTTTTTAAGAGCAGTAAGATAAGTCTGTAATGGATATGATACCCTGTACTTTCAACAGAAGGTTAAAGTCTGTGATGGCTCTGATATTCCTTTCATTAAACTAAAAGTTAAAGCCTCCAATGGATCTGATGTTCCATACTTTTAATCAAGGCTTAATGAATGTTTTCATGGAAGAATCTATTTCGATATTGATTCCGAAAACCTGAGGAGGTTCTTTGTTTAACGTCGTTTGGCACAGAAAGACAGTTATTATCTTTCTAAGTGATTCTCCACTAAAGAATGATTAAATGTATATTTTTCTTTAAAAAAACAAACAAACAAGATGTGTGTGTTGATTAAAATGAGCCAATCATTGTCTTTCTAGATATCTCTCAACTAAAGAATGGTTAAATGTACATATTTTATTAAACAAAAAGATGTATATTGATTAAGATAAGTTAGAACCTATTTTTAGTAGCTCTCAACTAAAGAATGGTTAAATGTACATATTCTATTGAACAAAAAAGATGTATATTGATTAAGATAAGTTAGAACCTATTTTTAGTAGCTCTCAACTAAAGAATGGTTAAATCTACATATTCTATTGAACAAAAAGATACATGTTGATCAAGATAAGTCAGAACTTTTATCTAGCACTAAGTTAAAGGATGGTTAAAAGCACGGTTTTATTTAAAAAATATACGTCAATCGATGTTTTCATAGATAGCTATACACTACAAGAAAATTCAGTATTTCTAATAAACTATACCTCCATATTCCTAAATATTCTTCTCAATATACCAGTCATAACTTCTTAAATACAAGTAAGTGACAGAACCTCATAACTTAAGAATTTATGGAAATAACATTTTAATTCAATATTTTTGTATTAATTTTTTTTGTAATAGTATTGTAAATATTCAACTGAAAAAAAACTGTTCTTTTCTGGTCTAATACTTTTCAATTTTTCGTATTCGAGAAGTTAAAACCCGTGCTCACTGCTGTTGAGATCTTTCTACAGTACAGAAACGCCTCTAGAATTGGTCGTTCAAGTTGAAATCTTGAAGATTATCCGTTTGGTTTTGAAGTCAGCCGCTAGTGCTTCAACAATGGATGAGCAAGTTTTACTTCCACATATAAACATGACTGAAGAAGAATATCTGGAAGCCAACATGGGACCACAACAAATAACATTTGTAGTGGTAGTGCCCATTACAGTTGTGTACGTTCTCATTTTTGTCAGTGGAATAATTGGCAACGTCATTGTCTGCTTAGTTGTCACGAGGGACTCCCACTTCCAGACACCGACCAATTACTACCTGTTTTCTCTAGCCATTTCCGATTTACTCATTTTGTTATTTGGTAAGTTGACAACTTTTAACCTTCTTTTCTGTAGATTTATACGCATGTAATAGGTGACTGAATATCAACTTATTTTTATTATTAATTAATGGTTATTCTATACTGTGTCACAGTAAATAATTTTAATGATATATCATTTTGAGAATCAGTAGCTTGTCTGTTTGTTTGTTTTCAAGTTAAGCACAAAGAAACACAATGAGCTATCTGTGCTCTGCCCACCACGGGTATCGAAACCCGGTTTCTAGGGTTGTAAGTCTGCAGACATACCGGTGTGTCACTTCCATCGATATCACATAACAAAACAATTACCATTTTATTTTGCTTGTTCACTATTTTTGAAAGTCTTTTTTGCAATTAAATATATATATTGTTTGTAGAAAGCGTTTAAGTTTTAGTTACTTAAATATCTTTGTCATTTATGACATTAAAGGGTTGTAGAATGTTTTGTATTTATCCTTTTTAATCAAAAGTTGAAAAAGAAACTACCAAATTATAAAAAACAACAAACAGGTTCTTCAGAAGATTCATTCCATGACAGAAATAGTTGATACCATTTAACGAAGGCCGAGCTTTCGTAGAGGTCAGCGTGTCAGAACCATTTAACGAAGGCCGAGCTTTCGTAGAGGTCAGCGTGTCAGAACCATTTAACGAAGGCCGAGCTTTCGTAGAGGTCAGCGTGTCAGAATATGGATCCGTTTTGGCAAATTTGCACTTTGGGTTTGAGACGGTGGGTGTATTATAATAATGATAGCCAAATCCTACTATCTGGATAGAGTAGCTAGAACGTTGTTAGTGGATTCTGGTGACTAACTGCCTTCCCATTGGCCAGTAGTGTAAAATTAGATATGGCGGCAAATAAATTTAGTAGCTTTGCTATAAATACAAATATCAACCCCTTTAGTGTATCAGTTCAAAATTAAGGACAGCTAGCGAAGGTAGCCCTTGTATAGCTCGTTTAGCTCTATTAAAGTATTGCACCTTCGTTTATTCTAAGGTTTGTCTACAAGTACGATACCAGTAGGAATTCGTGTTAGTTTTCACTGTTTTGCTTTAGAAAATGAAGGTTGACAGAAAATGGAAGATTAACAGGGTATGTTCACTTTTCTTTCTCTTAAAAACACACGCATATGATCCACGTGATTTATGTTAGAACGCTTAATTGGTTAAAATAACTTGTCATGCATAAAAAAAGTACTTAAGGATTAAAATCTAGTCTTTAACTATAAAACACACGAACAATATATACTTTAGCAAAAAAAGGTGATCTAATGCAAAAGCATTGGGTACATAAAGTATCCATCTTATACTAACAACGTGATGAATAATCCATTTAAAAACATTATGAACACGATATTAAATAATAAAAAATTCTTTTGATTTAACGTTTTCTTTCTTTCAACAATAAAACATACCAAGTAATTTCGAAGTGTACTTATTTATTTGTTTTCTGTTAATTTTAAAGCTACATAATGGGCTGTATTGTGCCCACAACGGGTATAGAAATCTGATTATTAACGTTATAAGCCCTATGACTTACCGCCGAGCCACTGGCGGGTTCTCAAAGTGTAACTCGGGGAATCTTTTAATTGAGTTCTGAGTCATATAGAAAATTCTAGAAAGAGTTATCAGTTCTAAGTAACGATTACACTGAAATGTAATAAATATTTGTAAGAATATTAAACTAGACAATCATGGTATAACTAACGGACTTGTAATGCTGGCGCAAAACTTTCATCAGTTTGTGTATTGAGTATGTTGAGGTATAAATAATTCAAGTTGTCAGAAACTAAATATTTCTAAACACTACATTGACTCTAAGCGCACATGTTTTTAATATGGAAATATTTTATTTCAGATTAACTGAGCATATAACATACATTTGTATTTAGACAAAGAGCAGTCATGTCACACTGATATTCATTTTGAGGAACCTTAATGTTTATTAGTATTCAAGATAATACTGCTTCGCTTCGAGGTAGCTCTAGTCTTCTAGAATTCTTTAATTACGGTTCATCTAAGTTCATTTACAGGGAAAAGATTTTTTTTTTCTAAGTTTATCGGCGAAAGCTGCTCCTGTCATTAAGAACTGATTGATCTTGACCAGTTGGCTCCTAGAAATGTAATTTCTGAGACGTAAATGCCGTAACTCTAGAAACCCAATAAACGATAAATATCGTTTCCATTACGTTTCCAATGAGATTTATCGAAATAAACTCTCTCTTTTTTTTCCCAACCAGCCTCTACAAAGGAAATAGCTCTTCCATTCATAAACACATAAGCTTTTGTAAGATCAACGGATAGAGCTATAAGCTTAAGAATAAGACACAAGTGTATATTTATTTAAGTATTACAAAATCATGCTTTAAATCTGAATTTTTAAAACTTTATTTCATGTAATTTTGCACAAAACCTCGAGGAAAAATATACAACATAATACATTAATGAATGAAGCTCGAGTTCAAGCTTCTAAAAAGGTTGGCTTCTACTCAACCATCCTTTCCAAATAAGTAATTGTTTAATTATCGAACCTTCCTTAACATATATGAAAGAAGACAGTAGCAGAGAAGATTACAAGTCGACAGGATAGCTAGTAGATCATTACTTAAAATCTCGTGTTTAATATGAAGTTGGCTTTGAAGAGAATTACTGAATAAATGCTATTGTAATATTTTTCAGTAATAACACCGAATACTCAAAACTTCTTAGAACCTACGTAAGAGCATTGTTCTGGCTGTACGAGGATTTATTTTACGAAACGTATATGATTTTATTTATATATTTGAAAAAAAAAAAGACAACGATACGTCATTATGTACTTGATTAAGACGAGAAAGGCTGAAATATATTAATATGCCAAAAAATGCAAAACGTGTTGTTTCAGGAAGTCAGGTAATTAGTTTAAATCACGTGTATGTGATTTTACTTCTTAGATCAAAAGACTTAATTAACATATATACAAAAATATGTTGTTGTCTTTTAGAACGCTCGTGTAATTCATTATTAATTCAACCGTTTTTGATGGGCATTGATTATTTTTGACGTTGTTTTAATTAAATAGACTGTTATTACTATGAAGTCAATTACAAATATATATACGATTTGTTTATCCGTTGAATAAATATTTTAAATTATTTTGAATTATTGCCGACTTAATTTAGAGACTTAACAACAACAACAATTTATAAATATCGAAATGTCAGTAGTTCATTGATCCTAACATATTCACTCAAAATATTGTAGTCTACTGTGGGGCCGTAATAAAAAAAAATAAAAGAGCAGCAGGTGCTCTGTGCTTAGTACGTCATCCTGTTGGTAATCTGTGTATGGTACGTGATCCTGTTGGTGCTCTGTGTGTGGTACATGATCTTGTTGGTTCTCTGTACGTGGTACATGATCCTGTTGGTGCTCTGTACGTGGTACGTGATCCTATTGGTGCTTGTGCGGGATCCTATTTGAGATTAACATAGACTGTGAAGTTAATTGAAGTTTCTAGAGCTCAATCTTCTTATCGGGTTTAATTATTAAAATATTTTGATCAAAAGATAGCTGCCTGCATAGATCAGAACAAAGGTGTAAAGATTTGTTATGCTTATTCTGTATAAAAACTGAAAACAACTAATTAATGTGCATAAGCACAAAAGGAAATTATAACACGAACTGGTTAGAATCATCAAATCGTCAACGGAGGACACTTATTGTTAGAGATTCATATTTTTGGCCGCAATCCCAATAATAACTCAATATTTTCGGTCATGTTGGGAGATTTAGGTTAGTCCTTAATGCATATACTAAACCAAAAATGCAAAATAACGTTTAAAAGGGTAAGGATTATTTAAGAATTGTTCACAGTTATTTTAGATATTATAATCAATAATATTAATGTACCTAACTGAAAGAAAAATGGAGTAGGACATTACTTACAAAACACCTCTTTTATGCTTCAAAGATCAACACGGTTTAGCAATACATAGGACCTGAATATACGTAAAATTATTCATACACTGGGGCAGAGCACGCCCAACAATAAAAATATTATTGCTCTTAGAAAAAAAGGCTAAGAGTCATATATCAAAATAATCTAGCTACTTATACGGAGAATTATACCGATTCTCTGTCACCATTGATTCCCTATTGATCATAATATCTTAGTAATAGATCTATTTAGTACTATGATACAGCACTTGTCTTAAGAATGAATTTTATCTTTCTATAGTGCACAATATATATTGGTATTCCGACTATCAAATAGTTGTTGCAATAGTATATAACGCCTTAATCCGGTGAAGCGTGATTTTCAGATTGGCATGTTCAGCCGACCTGTTTAGCTCTGGTATTGAGCGATAAGCCCCGTCGGCAGCGACGTGTAGCACACAAGGTGTGCGGTTGTGAAGCTATTATGTTTTTTTTTACCAGAAACCCATATAGTAAAAAAGATTTGTTATTGTTAGTCTTGGTGTGATGTCACACAAAACACAGATCTGTAAAAGAAATTATTCACGCATTTTTGTAACGACCAGTTGAGCGATTTAATCATATTATGCTGACTTGTTTTGTTCTAAACATTTTATAGTGTTTAATTCTGTTTCGTACTCAACTTTTGTTTTCACAAGTTGACAAACTTAAATTTCTCATACGTAAGTTGAATAAATAAATGCCCCCCAGTGGCACAGCGGCATGTCTGCGGACTTACTACGCTAGAAACCGGGTTTCAATACCCGTGGTGGGCAGAGCACAGATAGCCCATTGTGTAGCTTTGTGCATAATTACAAACAAACAAACAATAAATAAATATATGTATGTATATATGCATTTTTACATACATATGCTTTTTTCTGTATCGTTTGTTTTAAATAACTTAATGATAAATTTTTAAAAGTGAAAAATAACAACTATATTGCTCTCCCATAGCTCAACAGTAAGTCTGAGGGCTTTTCATGCTAAAAAATAGGGTTTTGATACTCGCGGTGAGCAGAGCACCGACAGCCCATTGTGTAGCTTTG